CATCAGTATCACTTTAATAAAGTTAATTAAATCAAAATGGCAAAGGGTACAATTGGAATAATCTAGATATAGCTTAGATTAAAGGGCAATTGTATTAATGAAGGTACCCAATATTTGCCAATTGTTTCAATTATGTTTCGTCGTGTTCCTATCATCAACCTTCTATTAATTAAAATATCTAATCTCCGATGACAAAGCACGCTAAAAGAATAGCTGGGCAAACACTTTCATTCGTATAACATGTGCCAATTAATATAAAATTAATAGTAAGAATGGACAGGAAAAATTGCAACAATAAGTGGAATAAAAGAATAGTTGGGCAAACCCCCACGGTTAATGTTACTGGCTAGTTGTCCACATTCATAACGCACAGTTGACCAAGACTATGTATATATAAAACCCCCAGTTTTGATTTTTTTTTTTTTCTGTAGATTCAATAACTGAAGCTGAATTCTCTTATTTGATCGTTTGAGATTTTGTATTTTGTAAGATTTTTGTTAAACGGGAGATAGGAAGATGCCTAACAACTATGATAATTGGGAAATCGTGGAAGCTGTACTTCGGAGAAAAAAAGACCGAGAAGTTGCTTTAGCTGACTCAGGAGGAATCAAGTTCCAGATTCGGGCCCGATTCTTCATTTCATGAGCAGAATCCTCAACTTGAAGCTTATAATTCCAATACTGTAGATTTGCTTGGAGACCAAATGGTAATCTGTTTGATAATTCTTTGTTCTTTGTCAAGCTTCTTACTTATAGATGAATCTAATAATGAAATTTTAAGGCGGATTTATGAAGTCGTTATTGTTTAGAAAACTTTCTAATTCATTGATAAACAGTATTTTTATAAACTTATAGGTAAAATTATTATATTTTGTCTAAGTTCCAATTAATCAATATTCATAAACTTTTTTTCTCACATATAAATTATTTTAGATGTTAGGCTAAAGATGTCGAATGAAACTGTCACTAGAAAACTCATTGCTCCCCTCAGTTTATATAATACATCACTGTTTATCAACCTGATCTAGAGCAAAGATAAAGCATTTTTGGCAGCTTAACAAATATCTTTCATTTTTATTTATTTATTCAGCAGGAGCTATTATATTCATTCAAACGTCAAATATGACCAAATAAAAGCAGAAAAGTGTCAATTTCTAAAGATGAACATGGCTGATGAGCACGTATGGGAAGTGTTTATAAACAATTTAAATAATAAATAATAGAAATAAGTAGTAAATATGTGGATAGTACTTATGGAACATTCAAAATGTGTGGATCAAAAGTGACTTGATTATTACATGAGCCCAACTTTGACATGCACAGCTTTAAAATAACGAAGGGACCAAAGCCTCGATCTAAAATGGGAGCATAGAGAACTACGCGGGGGGCACCGGATTTATGAACTCCGAAAATACCTTTTCGCATTGTTATTGTCATCATCCATTCATAATTATACTATTAAACATGTATTTTGTAGTCTGTTTTGCCTCATCGGGTTTGTTATCTGTGTTTGAATTTTAGGGAGTTTTATGAATAGGACAGAGAAGGGAAGAGATGGCAGCAAAAGGAAAGGGGATAGAGCCTGCTTTTCCCGTTGACATCATCAATCGGTTATTGACATCCCGGCATTTGAGCACCGTGCGGCAGGTGCAGATGTCAGAGAATGAGATCCGCACTCTCTGTATTGCCTCGCGTGAAATCTTTCTTTCACAGCCTAATCTCCTTGAGCTTGAAGCTCCTATAAAGATTTGTGGCAACATTCATGGTCAGCACGTAGATCTTTTAAGGCTTTTCGAAATTGGGGGATTCCCTCCGGAGGCCAATTATTTGTTCTTAGGGAGATATGTGGACTATGGGAGATAGAGTATAGAAACAATATGCCTTCTTCTTGCCTACAAAATTAAATATCCAGAAAATTTCTTTCTTTTAAAAGGAAATCATGAATGCGCTTCTGTTAATCGAATACATGGATTCTATGACGAATGTGAAAGTCGCTACAACGTGAGACTCTGGAAAGCCTTTATTGTTTGTTTTAACTGCCTTCCAGTGGCTGCTCTTATTGGTGATAAAATACTCTGCATGCATGGTGGTCTTTCTCCTGATCTACATAACTTTGATCAAATAAAGAATATGCCTCGTCCAACTGATGTTCCCGACTCTGGTTTGCTTTGCAACTTACTTTGGTAGGATCCTAGCAAAGAAAAATGTTGGCAGATGAGCGATAGGGGGGTCTCATACACTTGGTTCGGATAAGGGAACTAAATTCCTATGAAGCATGATTTAGATATTGTATGTCATGGTCATTAGTAAGTGGAAGATGGATATAATTATTTTACTGACAGACAACTAATTACGATATTTTTTGCTCCCAACTTTAGTGGTGAATTCGATAATGATAGTGCAATTGTATGCGTTGATGATATTTTGATGTGCTTATTTCAGATCCTGCAACCAGCCAATACAAGGCGATTGGTAAGTTCAAGAAATGTTTATCAGTATTGAGTATTAATAATGGTTAATTGTTGTGCAAGTACTGAACTGGAGTGGGCGATGATGATAAAAATAAGACTACACTAAGTGATATCACTTGTAACCGGGGAATTTGGCGGTGGATATTGTTCACGAAAATATGTTT